GATTTATTTAATCTGTCAGGCAGATCTCAGTGCACAGAATTTAATGGGCACATACCTCAGTTTCGTAGTAATACCAGAGGTGTGCCACATGGTAGTTTTTTAGGATCTTTGTTGTTTTCACTGAATACGTCAGATTTGAAAAGTCAGTTGGAATTTTGCAGTAAGTACACCTCAATATGCAGATAATTGTATTACTCTTTTAAACTTGATGATGTTTATGTTGCCTGCATGCGTATCAATTCTGATCTTGAGTATTTATCTAGATATGTAAGAGCCCACAGCCTTGTATTAAATGAAAATAAAACTGAATTGCTTATTTTTGGATCAAGACCGTGTGAGGTTACTGACATCCAGAATTTTAGAATCTGCATTAATAACACTGTATTACAAGCAAGCAACAAATGTAAAAATCTGGGACTATATATCGATAATACTCTTGAATTTGTTACCCACGTTAAGCATCTCTTACAACCGACGAGACTTTTAACTAAGAGCAAAGGTACACCGGTCCGCTCTGACGAGCAATGACGAATGGTATGTTTACCCCGGTTTCAAGGTTTCCGTTAGTAAAGTTCTAGCTATTATGTGATCTTCGATAACAAATATAGGTAAAACATCTACCAGAAGTTTTGTGGATTCTAAAGAAAAAGGAAAAAGAATACTAGTCTATAAGACCCTCCATTTCATATGCACCTGCATGTAAAATCGGACCATTTAAGCAAAAAATATGTTTCGTACGTACAGACTGACGTCGCAAAGTTTCCTGGCAAGTTAGAGTCGATACGCGCAGCGTTCCCGATTTTTCCAAACTGCTGTTTGTTTGTCAACGTTAGGACGTGATTTCATAAATTCGGCGCAAAGATGGGGATTTTATGCAATCGAAACTCGTTTGGTACAACGACACTTTTCAAGTCCCGCTCTGAAGCAAGAGAAGCTGGATTTTCGGGAAGGAGTTTTAAATTTTCAGCAAGCAAGGCGTTTGTATGTAACTGAAAGACACGCAGCTGATGTTGGCAATCGATTCGGTTCATGAAAGGTTCATTCTACATTGTCATGACTTTGTACGGCCGAATTTTTATTAAGGATAACTTAATCCGCTGATATGACTATTCATACGCCGATATGGGCTCATCTAGTGCTACTATCCGTCCGAGATTCCCCTGATGTGCACGAGTTTAGAGGGCGACCGGGGGCGGATTCGAAAACATATAAGAAATGGCGTCTAGTAGATTAACTCTACAGGGTTATCCAAATTAAGTGTCCACCATTAGTAACTTTGTTATTAGTGAAAATACAAAGTTGTTTGAATTAGCAAACTTGTAGCATTTTTAACGCTGGTAAAAATGAGAAATAAAAAAAAAACAATTTAGAGTCGTTATTTTGATTTTTTTCAGTAGAATAACATTTTTTTAAATGGAAACCCCTGTATATTATATTTTTTTCTGTTAAAGCATCAAATTTTAAACAAAAAAGTTCATAATGACTTTTCCGCTAAAGTCAAAATAACCATAAATATTTTTAATTATTTGCAGTATTATAATATTAAGACGGCTATGAAAACAACATGGCGTTCGCGATTTGACAGCATTAAGATAAGCGACAAATTGTTAAACTGGACATACTCGCAACTAGAAGGCTTTGGAAAACAATGATAAAATCAAATAATGTCAAACATTAGTGTAAATACTTGTTTATAAGCTTTATTGTGTCATTAATTTAAAGAAAAATGTTCTCCCATGAAGAAAAGTGTGATATGTTAGAATGCTATTTAGTGTGCAGAAAATCCTCCTTGAGAGCAAGAGAATACTACAGTGAATTATATCCCGCTCGCATTCAACCGTATGAACGATATTTTCTGAGACTTTTTCGAAAATTTAGGGGCAACGAAAATGTTTTTGCTAAAACAAGGGCAAAAAAAGAATTGATAATAAGCGAGGCCACGGAAATTGCAGTTATTGGATATTTTGAAGCTTATCGTGAGAATTCAATAGCAGATATTTTCAAGGACTCTAATTTCAGTTATGGTACTGTTCAAAGGATTTTAAAAAAATACAAATTTATTCCGTATAAGTACCGACCAGTTCAAACGCTTTTGGCAGGGGATCCAGAGAGAAGACTTGTTTTTTGCCATTGGTATCTTAGCTTCTGTCGCCAAAATGTAAATAACTTTCGTTACCTTTTATGGACAGATGAATCAAATTTTTCAAATTCTGGAATGGTTAATAGAAAAAACCACCATTATTGGTCAAGAGAAAATCTTTTGTTAGTACATCCAAGAGGCCCACAAGTCCGTTTCAGTTTCAACGTTTGGTGCGGTATAATTGGTTCAAAAATTGTTGGCCCGTTCTTTTATGAGGGAACCCTAACTGGTGAAAGATATGTGGAATTTATGTCAGAAATTCTGACTAATTTCTTAGACGAATTGGATCTTATAAGTAGACATCATCTGCATTTTCAGCAAGATGGCGCACCTGCCAACAACTCCAGAGGTACTTATCATTTTCTAAGTACTACTTTTAATGATCAGTGGATAGGAGCAAATGGCCCAATACAGTGGCCTCCCAGATCACCAGATCTAAACCCACTTGATTACTTCTTGTGGGGTTACTTAAAGAACCAAATTTACAAGCGAAGGTACGATAACCTTGACGCGTTAAAGACTGCAGTTAGGGAAAAGATAACCCAGATAGATGGTAGGACCATACTTAAGACAGTTCGAGCAGTTGAAAAACGTGCCCAAAAATGTATTGAAGAACAAGGTGGTGTTTTCGAGCATCTTCTTTAAAAAAAATTGTTATTGTATTTTGTAAGATTATAAGTTGATGTTGAAAATAAAGTTTGTCGATACAATTTAATTGTTTCAGATTGGAGGCCATAACTTCAACAATTTGTAACCTAGGAGAAAAGTTATTGTAAGCTTTTTTGTTTAAAATTTGATGCTTTAACAGAAAAAAATATAATTTACAGGGGTTTCCATTTAAAAAATGTTATTTTACTGAAAAAAATCAAAATAACGACTCCCAATTGTTTTTTTTTATTTCTCATTTTTACCAGCGTTAAAAATGCTACTAGTTTGCTAATTCAAACAACTTTGTATTTTCACTAATAACAAAGTTACTAATGGTGGACACTTAATTTGGATAACCCTGTATACTTCCTACGCCTTCGTTGGAGGTTTCCAATCGTTTCAAAAGGCGAAATCGAATCATGATTAGGTTCACTTAGGTACGATGAATCTTCGACCTCATCAAACTATATAACGACTAGCTAAGCGATGTATTCAACTCACGATAATATTCGAACTTCGGTTCACAACTTTTCTATTGCCTAAAGATATCTGCATCACACAAATCCGTGTTTCTCATTTATGTCGGTTTGTCAGTCCGTGTCTGTTATATCAATGCGTCGTAAGTACTGAGTCAATGTACTCGATAAAATATGTAGATAACCATCATAGATGGAGTAACGCAAATTGAAGGTTAGGCAAAATATTTGGTACATTTAAGGATCATAAAATTCAGAAAAATATATGTGTAGATATAAAAAAAGGTAAGTCATCATTTACAAAAGCATCCTAATATTGCTAAAATATATAAATATTTCTCCTGTAGCGGTGTTTCTATGACGACACAACCGCAGACCAGTTGGAGTTTTTTACCCATTGCATAGTCGGCAGTGACCTCCAAGACGATGCAACATCGCGCCGTGCACGCAGCGCCAACGATTGACAAATTATTTCGAATTATAAACACATTATACATCGGACCTTTACCATCTAATTTTCTCGTTGTTACCAAATTCAGATGCTTCCAAATGATAAAACGTCTTAGACTAATACTAAAGACGTTAAATTTACAACCCCAATTCCCGAGTTTCAACCCGTACAAAAATGTTTCGGAAAAAAATTAAGAGTCTTTGAAAAAAAGGAAGTTTAAGCGATTTTTATTTTTTTAGTATTTTTGCCCCTAGGTCCATCACCACTCGACCGATTTTTAGAAACTGAAAGATTTTTCTTCCTTGACATAGTAGTAACTTTGTGTGAAAATTTCATCAAAATACTTCTCAAGTTATACGCGGTTAGGACTGACCGACAGACAGACGGACTGACGGAAATGAGTGACATGGTTTTCCGTGATGTTCCTGTCATAAACATACAAAAATCTCATATTTCAGTTTCGAAATTTTTCGCGATTACAGTACTTCCTCGCCAGCTTTGGCACAGCATGTAAAAGTACATATATAAAATTGTCTGAAGAATTAATATCTAAATAGCCATTCCATGGGAACTCAAGAGTGTTGCTATTTTTATAATCACCAACACAATGTTGACACATTTCTAAAAGAGTTCTGATCATTAGAACGTCTTAACTCAGGAGGGCAGATATCTTCTTTAATTGTTGCTTCAAACCCAAAACTGTGTCTTTGTCGATATTGTTCTTTGGCTAAATAAATAATCTGAAAAAACAAAGTTTTGGGGAAACAAATCTAGATCTTGGGTATTATCATGCTTACGAAAGATTCCACCAGCGGCTTAGGAAAATGTCAACGTCGGCAGATGGTAGTTATTAAATATGGTTTTCATAAAATAAATTCCTGTAAATTAATAAATGCTTATATGCTCATGACTCACTCATGAATTTACGTATCCTAAACTCACTACTTACTTGCTTTTTATTACCTATATGTTGTATGTGATTAATGAATACAAGTGAATGGAAACTTGAAACTACATGTTTTAATGATTAATGAATAAGTCCAATAAGGAATACATGTTTTCACCATATTTTTAAGTTACCATAAATAACTACATATGTAATAAATTTAATGCCACTGGCGGATAACAGATAGCGCTAGCGTGACTGATCATAATTCTGTAACCAGTAATCGTCTTCATTTCGTTTGTTACGGGTTAGTAGGCCGCGTAATCGCCAGATGGCGCTATTAGCAGTGGTACTAGGAATCGTTCACATTTGCTTATATGATGCTGTTTCTCTTGTTAGGAAAACTTGAGAAAGCATATCCTAATAACCACTAAACACGTGGGCAAGAGCGTGTATGAATGCAAATTGTGTACCAGTGAGGACCAGGAGAAGTTCCAGACAAATATCGCCAAGGAATTTAAGGTCCATCTCCTTACCATACATCAAGATATGTTTAAAAACAACACTGAGGCCATGAGCTATGTAGCTGGACTTCACAACATCTACGATGAAGCACCGTTGGCGAATCAAGCTTTCGATAATCATGAAAGGTGGGTAGGAGTGTCGTTTCTTTATTCTTGTACCACAACTTTATCGCTCACACTTATAGAAACGTACAATACTTTCTGGCGCTGATAAAAAATGCTCTATCACTTATATGCCTTTGATACTGGCCAGAGTAGATAGAAATTATTGTTAATACAATAGCTTTCAAGTCACAGCATTCAAAATGCATTAGTTGTGGTGAACTAGTATATTCGCCTAAGCTTTATGTTGCGTTTCTACGGTTATCTTCACCTTAAAGTTTCCTAAAAAATCTGCGTAACTACTCCGTGCTTCTGGTTGTTCAAGTCATGATACTGTATTTCTATTCCTATGTAGTTGAAGCCGCATAAAACCCAAGTTGACGTTACGTTAAAAAGAGAGGAGCGCCATCTTTCAAACACAATTTTTGATAATTGGCGCGATGCACAGAGTGGTCCATTTCTGTGAAAAACTGGAAAAAACTCAAAAAAAGTTACGAAAATGGATGAAATTTATTACTTATCTCAAAGTTAATACCTTCAACAATAAGTTGGACATGGCCCCTCTACTTATGCTACCTTCACCAGGGCAAACTATCAAGTAAGATTTGAGGCGAATCATTTGGGGCACTACGCCTTTACGGCCAAAATATAGAGGTTTTAGGTATATCATCGTTTTCGTTGTTTGCTGTACAATTTTGAACAGCTGAATATCGATCGTAATAAATTTGATGCTAAATTTCATTTGATGTAATAGAAACTTGTTATTATGATTGTTTTCATGTACGTCGCGGGTTGAACATATTACTGTTTTTTCTTCACTTTTTTGTGTTACTGCTATTTCGAAAGCTACTAATAAGGATCTGTCCTCTACCCATATTGAGAATAATGATGTTTGTAAAACTTGGAGTACTGCTAGGTAAACATTTAAAAGTCAGTTCTTACTAACTTTCGCAAACCTTTGAAAATAGTACGAGTAATATTATACAGGGTATTCATTTGAAAACTTTCCACCACGGATTTATGGAAAACCATTGATTAATGATTTTTTTGAAGAGGCTGCTTATAAAAACGATAGGATATTAATAGCATTTCAGATTTATTGATATTTTCTGACAATATGAGTTGGGTAGACCCTGGTATTGTTTTCATCATTTAATGTGATCTTGTAATAAATTTCAGTCATTCCAAATCACCCCCAGCAACTTTAGAAGAACAAAACGAGAACATTTTGAAGTTGAACAGTGACATCGATCCAGTAGTTAGTCAACTTCCATCCACGTCATCGAATAAAGACAATCTGGACCAAATGTTAACAATGTTCATCATCCCTAAAGATGGCGGCATTTCTGCCGAAAATCCTGGAGAGTCCTGGAATTTGGTTGGAAGATACGATGTTGAAGAGGAGTCTGGGACTCTGATACCTTTTCAAAGTGAAGAGGATAGCTTGTTTGATGAACATTTTTGAATGTGGATTTATATTACATTTTGTATCCTAAGACGAATCAGTATATCCTGATGATTCCGTCAGTGTCAGTAGATTTCTACATAAAATTATTCATACATAATTAATGACGTCTAGGTTACAAGGTCAGTAAATATCACATTTCATGGTAAATACAGACACAGTAAATACTGTTTGACATTTGCCTAAGTTATGTGATTGATTTCTCAGTATTGATCATAATTCTTATAATATAGTATGAACTTAATGTATAATTTTACATTAAAATTACAATAAAGTTTAAAAAAAATTTAGGTTTTAGCTTTATTTTTCGAAAGATAAAACAGAGGAAATCAGACATTACAAACATTCTACATCTCTCCAACATGGTTTTGGCGTCACTGGTCAACTCCTCTTGCTGTGAGTCATATACGTAATGCACAACGACTTCAGATCTAATAGTTGTGCAATTACGTCTGGTGTCCCTCAAGAGTCTGCCTTGGGGCCATTAGTTTTCATTATGTACATAAGTGATATCGACATTCAGTTAGATGTCCAGTTTCTCATATATGCTGACGATCTCAAGCTTCGTTGTACGATTTGGTCTCTTGATGACTGTGTATATCATGAACATGCTTGACAGCTGGTGTCGCAAAAATAGCTTGCCTTTACATGCTGCGAAGTTTAATGTTGTCAGTATAAGATCAACACTCAAGCAATCGTATTTTGTTATAATTTAGGCGTCACTTTTAATAGTAAGTATTGCTTTAATAGACATATGGAGACAATTATTGCTGAGTGTTACAGCTCGTCAAGTGTAGAAAGAGATGCGAATTTTAGAATAATGTCACGCCTTCTCGGTGCGCAGTAGCTAGCGGCTCAATTCGCCGGACGAAACAGTAGCCTCTTGCCATATCTACAGTATATTCAGATAAGAGATAGACCGGATGTAAACAAAAGGTTCGGGTGATTTTCACGCTAACGCCGCCGTCTCGACGTAAAACAGGAGCCCTCATTGGTCAATTCGCAATTAAATGCCTATGCCGAGCGGCAGAGCAGTCGTATCAAGGCAGAGTCACATTCAGGTTCAGACGTGTTACGTATGTCGTGTGCATCATTGCAATTTGATATTTCTTTGGACGTTTTCGTTTGTTATTTTATTACGTTGTTGAGTTTGTCGTTGTTATTGTTATACCTTGTTATTGATTGTTATTGTTATCAACTGCTTGCGCAAAATGCCCAGCAGTACAGATACTGCCGATGAAGTTGTAAACTCCTGTAGTCCACCTAGGAAACGCTCTAAAAAAAGACACCTGAGTGCAGAAATGAAAGAGGTCATTTTGAATATATATAAGATCGAGCGCGAGGAGAGCGAGGCATCAACCATCAAAGAAATTGTTGTGAAGGTTTCTCACAAAGTTGGGGTGTGTCGCGCATCAGTGTTTAATGTGTTAAGACAATACAAAAAAAATCACACCTTTTCTGAGCCAATGACCAGTAAACATCGCAAAAGTATTGTTAAATCATTGGATGAAGCTGATAAGCATGCGATTAGGAGGAAAGTGCATGAATTCTTCTTTAGGAATGAAATACCTACTATAGATAAAGTACTGCAGGAGGTAAATGGAGATACAACGTTGCCAAATTTCAAACGATCAACTTTCCATGCGTTACTGAAGCATTTAAATTTCAAATGGAAAAAACGGGGTCGTAATAGTTTACTACTGGATAGAGAAGAAATTGTGCTATGGAGGAGGGATTATTTAACAAAAATTGGGAAATATAGAAATCAAAACAGGAAGATTTATTACCTTGATGAAACGTGGGTAAACGCAGGACACACTACAAGTAAAGTATGGGTTGATGATTCTGTAACTTCATCCAGGAGGGCCTTTCTAGATGGACTGTCCACCGGATTAAAAAATCCAGCAGGTAAATACGAGTAATAGACAACAATCGGATGTTTTTCAAACCTTGGGAACAAGATTCTAAATATTAATTCCAGGGGGCAGATAAAACATATTACAAGTAACAAAACTTTTATAACTTTCGATAAAATGCGTGGATGTTTTATTGTCATTTTCATTTGTTAGAACTTTTTTAAGCCATGTTTTTATGTGTTTTCGATATTTCAATAATTTTTTAATATAATCTTAAAATATGTCGAATATTATAAACTTAAAAAAAGTTACTAAGTTTTATATTGTGTACCGTTCCTAATATTTCTAATCATTTTAATTCATACTTTAAGCTTTATAAAGTTATAATTTGTTAATATTAATATTTGCGCGTATTTCAGGTTCCTGATCATTCATTTTTTAAAGGTTTATAACTTTAAATTAAATTGTGAAGCGCTGAGTAATCATACGACGTTCAATATTCTTTCTTTCAATATGACTAAATAATCCCAATTATAGCAATCTGATACTCATGTCTCAATGTTTTTTCGCTGAATGTGATGAAAACATTTGAAAAAGGTTCGCTTATTGAAATAAATCTACACCAGTTAGTACTTCGATTTCCAGGTAAAGGGAAAAGGCTCATTATCTGCCATATTGGCAGTGAGGATGGATTTGTTGTTGACGGTCTGTGGTACTTTGAGTCTAAGAAAACTGGAGATTACCACGAGGAAATGAATGGCGAATCGTTTGAACGGTGGTTTTCAAAAATTTTACCGAACTTAGAGGAAAACGCAGTAATTGTGTTGGATAATGCGCCTTATCATTCTCGAAGAATGGAGAAGGTCCCAACAGCGGCTTCAAGGAAAGTTGATGTTCAAAATTGGCTCCGCTCGAAAAATATCAACTTTGAAGAAGCAATGCTGAAAGTACAATTATTAAGAATTGTCAAGGATCACAAGGCGGAATATCAAAAATACGCCATTGACGAAATGGCAGCAAGTCAAAATAAAACTGTGCTCCGTTTACCTCCATACCATTGCGAGCTCAATCCCATTGAGCTCATATGGGCAGAGGTTAAAAATTATATAGCTAAGTACAATACAACTTTTAAATTTTGTGACCTCAAAGGACTTTTCAAAGAAGCACTAGAATTAATAACAGCGCAAAAATGGGAAAACTGTATTAAGCACGTGAAAGACAAAGTTGAAAAGAGAATGTGGGAACTGGACAATATTTTAGAGGAACAAGTCGAGCCATTCATTATTGACGTTGGTGCTTCAGGCAGTAGCGATGATGAAAGCTCATCAAGCTCATCTTTCCAATAAAAGATGTCGTTCATCAAATTCGGTAAGTTATAAGTAATTATAAAGCTACTGTATTTTTTAATTAATTATTGACATTTTTGAACCCATTTTGGCAAAACCTATTCAAGAACCTACTTTCTGACAATGTTCAACCATGCACATTTTACCTAGAAATCAAAAAATATACTAATCAATATTCTAAAAGCAATTTTAAGAGATATACGATTATTTTTAATTTAGGCTAATTTAAACGCCATTTTGAGATTATATTCGACTGTATTTCACCAAACATCAGGCGGCATCCGAAGCTGGAAATCGAAGCGAAAATTTTGAAACCCTTATGTATATTTACATCATTATATATTTCTTACCCCACCCCCACATGATCCTATATCCATCACCAATCGTATACACATCGAATTGTGCTAATTTACTACAAATTTACGCAAAGCAGCATCTACTATCTAAAATATGTACTGCGTGACTCTTAATACGTCCCTGCCGAATGTTACAGCGTTCGATGATCACGTGGTCTTGTTTATGTCCGGTCTATCTCTTATCTGAATATACTGTAAACTAGTTAGCGTACAGTCAGGAGAAAAATTGTCAGGCAGTGAAATACCTTCATTGCTTATTATCTGTATGAATTGTTACGAATTCGTGGGTTGAACGAAGCAGAAGGAAATAAACCTCTTAAAGATTTGAAGAAAGCGTGCAGCTATGGCCGCGGGAGTTAGTCTATCGACTATTAGGAGGATTTCTGGCGAAATGAAATCTGTTGAAGAAGGTGCTTCGACATTTTTTTCGACAGCATACAAAAAAAGATGAAGAGCGACTCCGAAATCTGATTTCGACGACTTTGAAGAGGATTGTTTCGTCGATCTACGGGTGTAAACGTTATGGTAGTCATTATTGAAATGGGTAATGGGTCAAAACAAGTCAATAAGTTCATATGACGCATGGTCCAAGAGTCAATAGATTTTTGTCTAGATGGCTTTATAGTTTACAACTTTAAGTACATTATATCGACCACAATCACCACAATCTTATTAATTTTTATAATCTATTCTAAAACGTTTTTAGATTGGGTAATTAACAAATAAATGGCATTAAGTTTTTCTAAGTCAACCGAAAATTTTTAGTAAGTAAGTGCCATTAAATTAAATATGTAAAACACACATGACAACAGCGCGTCGATCTTTCATCACTCCTATCGCACCGGCAACCGATCGCAAACAGTAACAGTGGTTAGTTATTGTTCGCATACGTCGTCGTATTTATTTACAATGTTCTCAAATCAAGAGTTCGCCGACATGTTGTTAGTTTACGGTGAAGCTCGTCAGAAATCAAATCTTGCAGCTCAAATTTAACGCGACAGATTTCGCCAACGGGTACACCCAGACAGAAGGACATTTGTGCAAGTGTACCAAAGACTTCGAGATACAGGACGTGTTCTGCCCACTAATATTGGCACTCGTGAAAGACAGGTTCCTGTAAAGCAGGAAGAACAAATTTTAAATATCGTAGAAATCAGCACCAGGAATTAGGCCGCCCCGTAGGACTATCGCATACCATTGTCCACAGAATCCTACGGGAAAATTTGTTTTATCCCTACCATGTACAACGAGTGCAGGCCTTCTACTAACATTCTGTCGGTGGTTTTTGCACAAAAACATTGAATATCCGGATTTCTTTAAAAACATTCTAGCGACGGACGAATGTACTTTTACGCGAGACGGGATATTAAATTTCCATAACACTCACACGTGGGCCCAAGAAAATCCTCATACCATTCGTGAAGGTCATTTCAACGTTTTAAAATAAATATTTGGGCGGGTATTCTTGACGATCAGGTAATTGGCCCTTTCGAGCTACCCCCAAAGTTATCACGAGAAGGATATGCTAGCTTTCTAGCCAATAACCTACCAGAACTTTTGGAACAGACCTTAGACAACGTGCCATTACAACGGAGACAGAATTTTCTCGAAATTGGCCAGCAAGATCTCCTGACCTCAATCCGATGGATTTCTGGTGTTGGGGAGAACTTAAAGGAATGGTT